ATGCCCGACACTCTCAAACGTGCTGTCGGTCCGCTGCCCGAGGGGTACCTGGCGTTCTGGACCATCAGGTTTCCGGGGCTGCTTCTGGCGTGCTGGAACGTGGTGTGGGATGTGAGATGGGATTCGACGGATCGCTTCAGGGAGTACTATGAACCCGCAGGCCTCTGAGGGCCGCTGCTGGACACAAATGTTTTAGGGATGTACCATTGCCTCTCATTGCTTTAATCCTTGGTGTTTGTAGTGAACCCGTAGACTCTGGTATATTTAGCTCGTGTAGAATGGCCCGACAACACGGCAACTCCGTTTTCACCAAATCGACGCTGTATGCTCGATGCTTGACATGTCCTTAACTAACCCCATTGCACCAGGACCTTCTTACCCTTGTTCCCCTTCTTCTTCTTACCCCCGACACTCTCGCCCCCCTCGTCCTCTCGCTCGGATGGGTTGGCGCTGGCATCGGCACTGCCTTCTGCTCCCGATCCCCAGCTGAAGCCTGTGTCCCGCGTAACTCCGAAGTCTCGACGGACGCCACGGCCCGTACCATACCCAAAGATTGTTGTCTGGGGCTTCGCCGCCGCTGGCAGAGCGGGGAAGTTATCTGGGGTGTTGCCAACTCGCGCCTTGGCTTTTGTGTTGCCCTGAGCATGGTTGTTGGGGCCGATCCATGACGGACGCGACGCTGATGCCGACGAAGTAGAAGAAGCAGGAGTCGCAGCGGCGGCAGCCAGGGAAGGGAACGCATTGGAAGAGGGCGGGGCTCTTGACACCGGTGCCGCGGACCAGCTGGTGGCGGCGGTAGATGTGGAGGGGGTAGGCCCGCTGCTGATGCCGCCGGCGCTGGACCTGCGCGTGCTGTTCTTGAGGCGGAGAACACGGTTCGAGTGCTTCTGGTTCTGGCTAGGAGCGGCCGAAGGCATCACTGCCGAAGCCGTGGCAGCGGATGCCCAGCCGCTCGATGAGGTCGTTGCGCCCTGCATGCCGCCGAGACCGGGAAGGGACGGGTAATCCTCGTTGATGGCGCGCCAGTCCTGCCAGGCCTTCTGAATCCCCCGTGCTTTCGTCTGGTCCTCGAACAGGTCGGCCACCTCGCGGACCAGTGTGCCTAGGGCATTAGATGATGTGTCGACAAACAGTGAGAAGAAGGCGTCAATCAGTTGCGGCGCCGTCATCTTGTTCTGACGGTAGGAGGAAATATGTTGGCGAAAGGTGTTCATCTTGGCCTGATCTTGGCCGAGCAGGTTCGAAGCACGCTCAATAACGGAACTGTGGCGAGCCATGCGGGCGCGGTCTGCCGGCGTCGCGGTCGCAGGGTCCATTGTCAGCTGACCCAAGGCGTCTGAGGCCTCGGATTGGTGTTGCGATGCGGAAGAGGCGGCGTTGGCAGGTCGGGCGGTGGCACCAGTTTGACGAGTAGCAGTCGCAGCCGGCGGTGCTGCTGACAGTTGTCCGCCAAACGTACGGTTGCTCACCGACTGTGCTGAGTGAATGGCAAGTTGCCTCTGGTAAGCTATCTCATCGCGCCGCATAGGTTGCGCCGAACTTTGAGGTAACGGCTCAGCGTTGGGATCGCGCCCTCGTCCACGACCTGCACGGCCTTCCCTCCTGTTGGCGCCACCACTTCTCCGCTCCTCTTGGTATGCGGGCCGGAAGTCGAATCCAGCCATGTCGACGATCCTTGCGTCTCTCCTAACATCCTTGGACAAAGTGTTCCCATGTTCACTCAGTTGGTGGGCCTTGAGATCAAGCTCGGATTCAAAGACGACGAACTTGCGCTCCTGGCATTCGCGATCAAGGCACGGGTAGTGATCTTTGGAGAAGTGCTGCTCGAGAGCTTGGTAGTTGAGGTAGTAATGCGGGTGTCGCGAGTCTCTCCGGTCGCAGATGAAACACCTCTCATGCTTCTCGCGGCAGTGGTCGTACAGTTTGTCGTCGTCGTAGAAGCGTTGTCCGCAGAAGCCACAGAGCGGATGGCCCTTGAAGCCAGTCTGGTCAAGTGCCCCTGGCTTATCGTCACCATGTCTCATGTGCTTCTCGAGCTCCTTGTCCGCGAAGAGCTCGTGCTCGTGCGTAAAAACCTTCTTATTGCGCGTGCAGAGGTCACACATCTTGCGCTGGTGCGCCGAACGGACATGTCGGTGGAGATCAGGCCAGCCTAAGCCAGCAAAAAGGCAGTCGTCAGCAGGACAGTTGTATCGGAGAAGGACCACCGTATCGCCAACAATCTCTTCGCTGGCGTACTTGATGCCGATGTTGTTATCTAGACTCGTAATGTCGCTGTCGGTGTATTCTTCGTACCGCTTTAGAGGATCTTCTGTGAAAATAACAAAGGGGGCAGCGGTCTGTGAAAACCATGTTAGCTTCGAACTGCAACGTAACAGAGGGAAGAACTCACTCGGCAATGGGGGCAGTCTGTTGTCTTGTACAGAGCCCTCATACGAAGGCCGCAAATGTGGCAGGTCTTGTGGTTGCAGGGTGCAATCGAGTGAAACTTGATGGGGTCGGCGCAAATGAAGCACACCTCGTCACCGTCTGACGTACTGGGGACACCCTCTGCCGCCTTGCCATCGCTTGTCGGAGGTGGAGCGTTCCCCTGGGTCGGCGGAGTGACATCTTGCGTCGATTGAGCTGTCGTACTGCTGGGTTTCAACTGATTTTCGCCGCGATTGTGGGTGCCGCCGCCGCGTCCTCGCGTTCGCTGACCTCGGCCTCGAGAAGTGTTGTTGCTACCTCTTGATGCGCCGCCTTCCGAACGTCCCCTGCCTCGGTTTCGTTGTCCGCCTCGGGACGCCGTACTGTCAGCGGCCCCAGCTTCGGTCGAGGCCATGGTATCGCGTTGCAGATATGGGATAAGCGTTTAGACTGTCTCGTTTGATTTGAATTGAAGCTTCAAAGTCAAGACTTCAGGCTTGGTTTTGCTCTTTGTGATTTTGAATTCCTTCCTTAATACTTTTGCCTCTTGAGGTTTCTGGGTCGTAGACACAAATTATCAGCGTGGGGTCGACGGACGAAGGTGTGGGTGGGGATTGGTGGATGGAGGGGTCACTCGCCGACCGAAGCTCTGGCCGAGGATTAGCCGGTTCGACGTGATGACTGACTCTTGTCGGCAGGGAGTCATCAGAAAAAGGTAGTCGGTCTCCTCTAACGCTCTCCAGAACAAGGACCATCATGGAGCCAGGAGCTTTTACACGCTCCAAGCCCATATACGCCGATCTTGGTCCCCTGTCGTTTCGCTAGGAATCAAAATTGCGTAGGGGGATAAAGGATTGAGAGTGCTATGTGGTGCACATTTCCTTCCACCAGGTCCCTCAGCTCGGTAAACACTGTTGGTGATAGCCTCATGCAGGTGCTGCCTCAGGAATCGCCCTTGCCTTCGTTCAGTCGCATCGCAGGATCAGTTCGTGCTTGGTTTCATACTTGGATATGGATTACGGGATTGGCGACGAGATAAGGACATGGCAGAAGCAGTGTGTCGAGACAATGAAGCGCCTATCGCCACTGTGTGATGATGAGGACCTGATATTGATGAAGCAAGTTCCTAGCCCTTGGATTCGAGGTGCTTTCGACGATCATGACGTTCCTGAGTAGACTCCACTCGGACAAGAGGCTTGCAATAAAATGTTCCTTATCCTATGGCCTATGGTGCGTGACAAATCAATGAGCAGTGTCTCGTGCTAAGACCGCGTCTCTAGCTTTGCTCATGAACTTAGAACTACGCGCCCCAGTTCATCCTCCGGCCAACTCATTTGGGCATGTACCATACATCGGGGCAGCCATATTCATGGCGAAAGGATTCGCTGTCACGCCCAATCAGTCTCGATGCGATCGCTCCTCGAATCAGCTTCTTTCAATGTTCCTCCTCCACCGGATATAGGTGGCTGCCGATCAGCTTGTTCATTTGAAACATGTCAACTTTAGGGAGCTTGAATACAGCCTCCATAGGTGCGTCGCATATAATCTGGCGCTTGTTGGACGGATCCTGCAGGTTGTTGCCTTTGATATGCTCCCACAGTTTTTTCACAACCTGGGGACGCGACAACTGTTAAAAGTGTTAGCAGAGTCACCGCATGGGGGGCTGCTGTCGAATCGCACCTGAGGCTCCTTCAATAGCTCTGCAAGGGGATAGCTTAGGTTGAAGGGTTTCTGGAAACCGCCGCCGGGCTTGCGCTTGGGTGCCGCGCCATCGCTGCCATCAACATCACTGTCGTCGCCTGTTTTGACTTTGTTGCTGCTCTTCTTCTTGGGCGCTTTCCTCTTTTTCGGGACGCTAGCGCCGCGTGTCGCACGGCCGCGTGCCATGCTGTTCTCCTGCGCTTGAAGCTGAGCTGCTAGCTTCGCATCTGCATCCTCCGAGGAGGCTTCTCGCTTCTGCTTTTTCCTCGCCGGAGCGGGCTCTCCCTCCCCATCGCTGCCCGCCGCCTCGTCGTGGTAGCCGTACTGTGGGTCCGAGTCGTGCGGCGATACTTCCGTCTTCACTTGTGTATCGGCCTCTTCTGCTTGTTCCGAAGCTGTAAAGTGGTCAAAGCGTTGTTCGATCAGGGCCTTGATAGCGTCCTACAAGAGTCGTCAGTCAGTAGCTGCTTGGAGAGAAGCGAGGTGCGCATTGCACACCTTCTGATCACTGAGGTCCTTGCCGCCGAGCGCCCTTTCGAGACCAGCCCGTATCTTTTTGCGCGTGATGGTCGTAAGGTCGGCAGTCGCGAGAATGGTATCGATAATGGCGGTATACTGGACCTCGTCGCCCGGGGAGACTATGGATACCCAGTGAGTTACGGTTGCGAACAAAACAGAGAGTCGATGAAGTACAGACGTGGAGAAGCCATTGCGAATACTTGTTGCTTGTGATATGCGACACGGCGCAACGTCGCGATATGGTCCTGGGCGCTTGGCTCAATACGAGACTTGCAGAAACGTGGGGTATGGGGCTACCAGTTCGCGATCAGAACATGGTGCTGTAGCAAGTTTTGTAGGATCACCGGCAGTCTTGCTTCAAGAGAAGAGCCGTGGGTTCTGGGTCCAGCCGGGAAAAATATAGATCTCGGGACAGCCGCGACGGACCGTTGCTGGGTGAAGCTGATCACGCCTTTCGTGGTCGTGAGAAGGTGCTCTTCGTTTCGTCAAGCGTAAGGAAGGACAGGGGCGGTGGCGTCGAGCAGCTGCATCGCATCAGTAAGAGCGTTGAATTGAATTGAGGTGGGCAAAGAGCATACCGAGACCTGTGCACGTGGCTGCTACCGCAAGACGGTAAACCGAGTCGTATGTTGGATGCAGCCATTCCAAGCTGAGCGGTGCAACCATCGCTGTCTCCGTCACCAGGGCGCTAAGCAGTCGCGTGTTGGCAACCAGGTCCCGCGAGCGGATTTACTCCGCTAATCGCCCGGACCAATCACGGATGGGAATTGAAAGATCGGATATCTGCCAAACATTAGCTCTGGAGGCGTTCAACACCGATAGCTACAAGTTCATGAAGGTCATTCTCTTAACCGAATCCAAGCTGTTCCTCATCTAGCCGACTCAATCATCGGGCCTCCGTTAGCACAACCAAGTCGAATTCAAACCGTTCCTTGTGCGAAGCGTTCCAGTAGGGTTCTATTTTGGTTTGCAAGAAACCCAGAAAGGTGATTGCACCGCTCACGCGAACGAACTCAACTGACTCTCGATCCAGAAGCTGTGTTGGTAAGATTTGATGGAATGATTCTTACTGTCGCCCCATGGCGAGAAGGCGATGATCAAGGCTATGAAGCATCAAGTGAACAACAAACTCAGGTTCGGTCTTCTATGTGACGGACAACTATAGGAGGTGGATAACTCAAGTCACCATCATCTAAGAGCTCGATCTCCTTCGTTCTAGAAAGGGTATTGTTGACTTGGCTTGAATCAGATTGCAACTGACCCCCACTAAGCCACACCGCCTTATATGCCCCAGCCTTGTGGCGAAATTCGTGCTCGCAGCTCGTGCTGCCCATGATGTTGAAGGGAAGAATCTGGGCTAGACGATGTTGACTCAGTCTGTCCAGAGACGCCTTGAAGTCGTCAAGAATGATACTGTCGGTGAAACATTTGAAAATGAAAGCAAACTTCCAAAAAGGATTGATGACACCGATATTAATCACAGGTGTGACCGAAAGCAAATCTACAACAATGAAAATCAGGCTGAGAATCATGCAGAAAAGTAAGACCCCAAAACGTGGCGACACTCTGACAACTGTGGCAAAATCAAGTTCGTAACGGAATTTTATATTCCAGAAGAGATTCACAATGGTGAATATCCACCATGGGTCTCTGGCGCCATCATGTCAGCTCACTACACTCGCCAACGCGGATAAGAAGAAAAGATGGGAAAGGGTGACGCCATTACCGAAAGACTGCTTCAAAAGGCCGAGTGGTAACGAAGAGACGACTATTGGGGGTATTGAAGAAGGCGAAGTTCGCATAGACTTCCAAGATCCAGTAGGGCTGAACTAGGATGACGCTGCCGATGTAAATTAGGTTGCCTCGACGTCCCAGAAAAGGCTTGCTTTTCATCCAAGCGATAACATTGTGCAGAGTCCAAGACGCGAGCAACAGAATGACTGTCGATGAAAGAAACCAGCCATAGACCGGTGGTTCGAAAAAGATAAAAAATCCGTTAGGGACGGCAAGTATGAGCTGCTTAAGTCTTAGTGAACAATCCAAAGAGCGCACTGGGATGAACACGGCGACTACCTCTATAAAGATAAGCTTATGCAGGAGAACCCCCTTTCGCATATTCGCAAGCGTGATTCCAAGCATGATGATGAGGGCACCAATCATGAAACCCTGAGACCATGCTTCAAGGGTCAATTTGTCGTGAGCGGTCGGCTTCAACTGCTCGGGCGTGGGTAGGCCGGCCATTGAGATGTGTTGAACGACTGTATAGCAATTGAAGTTCTCTATAAGCTCCCAGAAGGCGGGACTTGATTCTCATCATCTCAAAAATTCCTGGCCGGGGATGGTGGTTTTGTAGTCAAAACGCCCAAAAGCTTACCAGCTGGGACAACGGTCTGACTTGGTTGGGTGGCCACTCACACAGCATGTGGCTTCCTGCAGGCGATGCACCATGCAAAATGGTGGCCCCCCTTGTGGCCCCCCTTGTGACCCCGGACTCAATACCCCAGGCGACGATCCCTGCCCAGGCTTACCCCTCACTTCCCTGGAGCTTAGCACGGCACATGGAGGATGCTCGGTTAGTGAACTTAGATCAAACGTTGCTGAACGTTAGGTCACTGAAGAAAATCCCGCATTGTGAGGAGTAGTATGGGTATGAGCAGACTGTATGTACGTTGATTTATGCCTTAGCTAATGAAGATGTGTTCTTAAGCTATTATCCCAGGCATAGTCCCAATCTGTTGATAACGACGGTTTTCAACACCAGCTCGAGCCGAGCGGCGTCACGGAGGCGGCCTCGAGAGCAACAACACCATCGTTAGCTACAATGCTAATGTCGGTCGACTCCTGGTAGCGAGGAAAAACATTGGCAGAAAACACGGTACCGTCCCCGATGAAAATCTCCAGGACTGAACGGTCAAGAAATATGTCCATGGCCAATTTGTTTTCCACAGGCACTGCAATTGAGGCTTCCCACAGCCCAGGCTGTCCGTAGCCTGCGCCCGTAGTGTCCAAGGTCAGAATGTGGCTTTTAGCGTCATAAGTGAGCAGGGTACATTCCTCACTCGACTGGAATAGAGCCAACGTGAAGGAAGAAGCTGTTGTGGTTCCCAAGTCAATGCTGAGCTTTACTCTGGCCGTGTTCGAGCTTCCGATGATGTGGGCTATATCGTCCACAAGTACAGGCCCCGATCGTTGAACCTTGCCGTGAGCAAGGCTCTCCAACTCTGGAATGGGGCGGCTACCCAGACCTCCGTCATCGCGAAGGAATAGCTCTCTGGTGATAGACTGCTGGCCTGCCCAGCCGTTGGCGCGACTTGGCCACTTTGGAGTCGGCCAGTTGCCCATCCAAGTAATGGCGAGATCACGCCCAGACTGATCCTTGTACCACTGCATTGCGTAGCTTGCGGGGCCAGCATCGAGGAGACCTCGCTTCTCACTGACGAATACTGATCCGTTAAAGGAGCCGGTTTCGTACCACCCAAGGCCGTTTCCTCCATAAAAGAGAACCCATTTATCTTCGAGAGGGAAGAAATTGGGACATTCCCAAAGGGGCCCGGTGCTGCCATTTCCAGTGTACATTATGCCCACATGAGACCAGGAGAACGGGCCATCGATGGAACGGTACAGCTGCACCTGCCCGTCAACGCTGTTTGTTGCACCAACGACCATCTTCCAAGAGTCGTCCGTCGGGTCATAGAACACCTTGGGATCACGGAAGAAAACAGGAGCTCCGTCTGGGGGGCCAGGGATGACCGGATTGTGAGCGTAAGGCTTGAACTTGATGCCGTCTTTGCTACTTGAGACATCGACGGTCTCTTGCACGGCATGCGGGTGGGCCCGTACATCAACGTACTCCGTGAAGACGAGATGCAGTTCATTTTCGTGAATCATCGCACTTCCAGTGAACCGTCCTGACTCATCTCCGGGTATCTGAGTCTTCTTCGGCGAGAGCGCATCCGGCAGCGTGCGCCAGTGTACAGCATCGGTACTCTCTGCGTGAGCCCAGTGCATTGGCCCCCAGAAAGGAGAGTCGGGAAAGAATTGGCTGAAGAGATGGTGTTGTCCATTCCATTGGGAAAGTCCGGCAGGATCGTTGATCCACCCCTGGTACGGGGTGTAATGATACTGTGGACGGATTGGGTCCTCGGCATACAAGGAACATGCTGGCGAACTGTCACGCGGAGGTTGATTTGACTGTCCGATAACATGGAAGGTCCGACCTTGACCGTTGCCAAGAGCATGGCGTCCAATTCGTAGGTCGTCAAAGTTGATGTGGCCCCATGACTCCTTCGTGCTACTGTCGTGGACAATAATATGTACCTGTTCGCCGGCCCACTCGCTCGTGTCCCAGATGATCCGAATGAGGGCCTCGTCGTTGATGCCAGTCTGGCGCAGGAGAAGCTTGTTGTCTTGGTCCCTGACTAAACCGACGTACAGATGATCCGGGTCATACCCCCCGCCAATCAGGAAGCTTAAGTTGGACGTGGCGCGGAAAGAGCTCGACTTCAAGTTACCAATGGCAGTTTCTCCAGCCTGGGCGGTGCCCAAGATGAAGTACTTCTGGTCTTGATGAAACGGTCCGTCCCAATATGTCACCGAATCTGTGACTGAGATGTTGCCAAACGCGTTACCGTCAACTACCTGCCAGCCTTCGAGGCTGCCAGTCTCGAAGCCAGGGTTGACGAGTCCATTGCAAGTTTGGACATGACGCTCTGGTTTAACAGGACCAGCAAGCACCCTTGAGGCAGTGCTCATGATCAAACAAAGCTTCAAAAAATTGGTTGAGTCGTTCATCTTGTGAGCTGAGTGAAAAGAGTACCCTCTTTGTCTATGATGGAAAAAAGGGATGTGGGTGAGTGCGAGGTATCCTGAGAACTAGATAAATTCTGAAGAAACGAGGGCCTATTTATATTCTTTAGAGATCTCTGTCTCGTTCAAGATGTGATCGAACTTGTTCGAACAGTGATGAGCCAAAGGGCACAACGCTCTCGCTCCAGCCCTTGTCCGCCGCTACACAAGCGGAATTGAGTATTGTACAGTACATCGTCTTTCGCAGTCTGGCAACAATCTAGGCCACTGGTTCTTTTGCTCCCCTGCACGAAACCTACCAAGCCTACCGTTCTGTCTTCGCGAAGACACAGTCGTTCTCCGCTGCCAGCGATCTTCTAAGTGAGTTGCTACTTGTGGCTAGATTTCGGGGACGCCGCTTCTCCATGCCTACCTGTAGCCTCCATCCCCTCTTCATCATGATCGACATGAGATATCTGAATGCTCTCACACAGTCCGCTTGACTCCACCAGTTATCGATGGCGCCTATCAGATGTTCGGTTGGAGTTAGCCATGGAGGAAGCATGAGGTAGCCCCTGGCACATTTGCGGGATATTTTGTTCGCGAAGCATGCGACAATACCGCTAGAAGGGCTCTAGAAAGGCGCTAGAAGGACCGCTCGGAGTCTTGGCTCTTTCGTGTCAGCCAGTAAGCCGATGGAAAACCCCCCGTCCCCAATCCCCGCATTCGAATGGTGCCATCTTTCATGGGGCCGGGGGCGGGGGATGATCTACAATCAATCGTTGGACGATTCAACTGCAAGGCTGGTCAGTGCACAACTTGAAGGAAACAAACGGGCGTCCGCATGCATGGCTTCTATAGTTCGACTTAGCATGCCTTGGTGCGACAGCTAGAGCTGCTTGCTTGACGTTGTCAGTCCGGGCAGATAAGAGGTCACATAACCTCCAGATCCACCTTCGCTTGGATCTTTGCTTCCTCATTGGACGCTGTCAAGTAGTAAAAGGCGTCACTACAGCTACCGAGGCATCCGTGGGTAGGTTGAGGGTGCAGGACGATTATCACGCATTCAGCTCATGGCCGATGGTTCATCCGCGATGGCCATGGTAGTACCAGGCCTCTCGGGTGGATGTCATTGCACTCTCCGTTAATTCAGCGAGAAAAGCTCCTTTTAAGCCTCCAGCGTCAACATTACCACCTGCTATTCGTGGTCAATCCCCCAGAGAGTGGATCGACGAAGCCTCACATCGGCGAGCAGGGGGTACGAACCAGCTTGATCCTCTCTGAGCCACAAGAACACTCCATCAACAATCAGCTGGTTATGGTTTTACGGTATCATGGAGGACATTGCAAGACTGAAGACACAGCCATGTGACTTTCGGCGATGCCGAAGGGCTTGCGACAATGAGCTTCTCGAATACGTCCGCGCCTGGAAGTAAAATCATCCGAAGCATAAAAAGGGACCAGCTCTGCACTCTGGCAGATGATGAGCATTGAGGTCTACACGGATCAACGGACTTTGATTGTTGATAATAACCTCTATGAGAACATCTGGCTCCTTTTCCTGAAAGCCCACTGCTTGTCAACGATTTATTTCAACTTGTTGAATTGCGTTTACAATGAGCCTCCTCAAAAATCTTTCTCTTTCCAGACCAGAGAATGAAGCCGGTAAAGCATGGCCTGCGATTGGTGTCGGCCTGTTCGTTGCGTTTGGTGGTGTGTTGTTCGGGTGAGTTGATTTCTCGAGGCCGGCGTCTACCCTCATCGAAGACACACTATGCTGACTTTGAGCTTGCGAAAGTTATGACACAGGTACTATCAGTGGTATTTTGGCGATGCCATACTGGCAACAGCTTTTCAGCACCGGGCATGTGGACGCGGAAGGCAACCCGAACATCACGACATCCCAGGAATCTGCCATTGTGTCCATTCTTTCTGCTGGCACGTTCTTCGGCGCCCTGTTTTCTCCCCTCCTCTCGGATTATATCGGCCGTCGCATGGGATTGATGATCTCAACTTGGGTTTTCAACCTAGGCGTTGTGCTTCACACTATTGCCACGTCTATTCCGCTGTTCTTGGCCGGCCGCTTCTTCGCTGGTCTTGGTGTTGGTCTCATATCTGCCATGAGTAAGTCGGCTGCTTAATCGCTGTTTTCCTGAGCGACGGTAGTCAATAAGGGTTAGTAACATCAGATGCCACAGTTCCTCTTTACCAGTCCGAGACAGCCCCCAAATGGATTCGTGGATTTATCGTCGGAGCTTATCAATGGGCCATCACCATTGGCCTCCTGCTTGCGGCTGTTGTCAATAATGCCACGGCGCGCCGTGATGACTCTGGATCGTACCGTATCCCTATTGGCATTCAATTGGCATGGTCTCTTATCCTTTTCTCTGGCTTGCTCATTCTTCCCGAAACACCACGATTCTTGATTAAGAAAGACAATGCCGAGCAAGCCGCGAAGTCGCTAAGTCGTCTGCGACGCCTGCCTACGGATCATCAAGCCATTGTGGCAGAACTGGCCGAAGTCCACGCGAACCACGAGTTTGAGATGCGCATGGGCCAAGGCTCATATCTTGACTGCTTCAAGCCCCCTATCCTCAAAAGGCAGCTCACCGGCATGGCCTTGCAAGCCTTGCAGCAACTGACTGGTATGTTCATCTCCCCCAGATACCGAAGCTTTTGAGCCGCTATCGGGTTGCTATCACGCACAACGCTAACTCAGCGCAGGCATAAACTTTATCTTCTACTACGGCACCAAATACTTTGAGAACTCTGGAGTGTCGAGTGGGTTCACCGTCTCCATGATCACGTCCGCCATCAATGTTGCATCCACCATCCCCGGCATGTATGCGGTTGATAAATGGGGGCGAAGACCGCTTCTACTTTGGGGCGCTATCGGCATGTGCATCTCTCAGCTTATTGTTGCTGTTTCGGGCACAGTTTCGTCGGGCCAGCACGAAAACGGCGAAATCTTTGTGAAAAGCCTGGGAGGGCAGAGGGCTGCTGTGTCCTTCGTCTGCATTTACATCTTTTTCTTTGCATCGACTTGGGGACCCTTGGCCTGGGTAGTCACAGGCGAGATCTTTCCCCTCAAGACGCGCGCCAAGTCACTTAGCATCACCACAGCCACCAACTGGCTGCTGAACTGGGCCATTGCTTATTCTACCCCATACCTCGTCAACTACGGAGAAGGTTACGCCAATCTGCAATCTAAGATCTTCTTCGTATGGTTCGGCGCCTGCTTTATCTGCATCATTTTTGTCTGGCTCATGATCTACGAGACAAAGGGACTCAGTCTGGAAGAAGTGGACCAGCTTTACGAGGAGGTTCGCGACGCCCGCAAGTCTTCTCAATGGAAGCCCACCCCGTCTTGGGACAATGACACCAAGAAACAAGGTAACGACATTGCCTTGGGAGAAGTAGAGCATACTGCTGCTGAAGGCCCCCCTCAACCTGACAGACACTAAGTTTCGGTCAAAACTTTGGAATCACGCGGCCGATCCTTCAGTTGACAAGTCTCTTTCGGCAACGTGCAATTCTCTTATCGCTCAACTTGCACTGGGATATGGAACTTGATTCAACGAAGATTTGAGACCACTTTGGTGGGTGATTGTGCTCTTGGTCATTCACCTAACAAGCGCCTTTCCGGAAGCTAGGCATAGCCAAGAAAGCCGTGGTCCGGGACGGTTACAGACAAGATGGGCTCCCAGGATTCTTACCCAGGTTAAAGTTTAGTGTTCTCCCGGGTACTTCTCAAGCCCCTCTCCAATCGACATCATGTTATTCCCTCACCCAGTGTTCTCAGTTCTAGTGATGTAAGCATCAGTGATATTGGCAAGATCCCGTCTAGGCGTTGAAGAGCAGCATGGCGACCCGAGGACTTTTGCCACTGCAGGTAGCCCCATCCTTGGTTTGAGTTGACGCCAAAGAAGTTAGGCTTGTTCGCTTTGAAAATCTCCTCGTTAGTCCATTAGGTGGGAACTGAATTTGTTTGGCACCGCCAGTTCGGAGTCAGGCTGATGTCGCCGGATATAAGTCGCGCAACGACGCCAACATCCAAAGACAGTAATTTGTTACTGTCGATAAGGCACAGGACGGGATCCTTGAATTTCCAGTAGATTGATTGCCTGTAATGTGAGTGGTCGAGCGTGAGGGTCAGAGCTCTGCCGGGATTGCACGATCTAGCCAGTTCTCCCAGGCTATGACTACGTACATGGCATGGTAGTCGACGATCTGTACTAGAAATCAGTTCAAAGACCTGTGTCATTTTTATCGTCGATGTCAATCACGATTTCCTACCCCGGCTGTCCAATTTGAATAACGGGGATTGGCTTCAATCAGCATTCGGGACCGCCAGTGCCCCGAACATTTTGCTCCGTGACACTTAGCGCCTCGTATATCTTTGTCTGCATGTCACGCTGATCTCAGGCCAGGAGTCAGCTGCAATTGTCGGCCCTACGCCCACAGGTGATGGGCCATTATTGGAGCCACAGTCGATGTCCAGTCCATGAAATCATTCATCACAGCTTTCCAGCATTTTTAACGCGCCTACCCCATAATACCCAAGCCGCCTGACGCAGGGAAATCTGGGGCTCTAGGCCCCTGACATGACTAGTTCCTGACTGCGTGACGTAGAAGGGCAATACGAGGGACGATTCCTTCCAGACAGGGTCCGAAGTTTCTCGTATTGTGCCTCTCGGCCCCATTAGTCTACCGTCGATCGGACTCGGCTCGCCAATGCCGGCATTACGAGAAGATCATCGTAGAGCCCACAAGACAACACATTCGGCCATTTCAGCGTGCACGTCTCTTGAGTATATAAGGAGGGAATTGCAACAAATCTATATAGCTGGCTACTCTATCTATCTTATACTAAATACTTTGGAATTCAATTAAATCCGGCCCAAGTTCACCAAAGATAACACCTTGCCACCATGCACTTCCAAATCCTTGGTGCCGCCTCCTTCGCTGCTGCCGCCTCGGCTGCGGCACTCCCAGCTTCATCCGGGCCCCTCCCTGCCGGCGCCAAGTTCAATTTGCTCGCCCTCCGGTCCGCCAGCCCCGTTCATTTCGCAGATGTCAGCGCTGCGCAGGGCAGCCTTTTCCTCAATCTTCCCAGCCAGAACGCCACTTGCGACGGCTCGTGCGGCAACAGCAGTGGCAGCGCCACATTTTACCTGAATGATGACGGCGGTCTCTACCTCTACAGTACTTCGGCTACGCCTCAGCAGTTGTATGCCGATCGCTCAGGCATGGGTATGTGATGTTGTGCCCCTCTCCACACCGCATAGACGTACTGACCACAACACAGGTCAGGGCAACCTTGGCTACACCACGGGCGCCCAGCCTCCCCCCCGAAACGGCGAACGTACTGGCTGGGTTCTTGATGAGGTTGGCGACCTCACTCTCAACGGCGCTGGTTTCATCGCCTGCCCTAACAGCATCGACGGGGCATGGAGTCTCTGGGTGTCGGCTGGTGTCAATCAGCCAGGCGGTAACGAGGGTTGCCTCAGTATCTCGGCCCGTGCTACTGAGGTCAAGAACCCCGACAGCTGCGTGTACACTTCTTGAGAGTAAGGGTTGTATATAGATAAAGAGAAGAGAGTCGTAAATAGCAAAACGTAATGTAATTGTCGACAGCGCTGAATGGTCCTTTGTGTATGGACTATAGAGCCTGGAGAACAAGCATACGAGCCTGCACGCCCGCGCCCCTTCGGTAGTCCTCGAGGTTGGCGCTTACAAAGGCTACCTTGCCGGCGGTGACTAGTTCCTTGACACGCTTCTCATAACCGCCGTTCTCCCAAATTGAGAAGAGAATGGTAGCAACAAGATAACCACCCTTCTTAAGTACCCTCACAAATTCAGCAATTGCAGCAGGGCCGACGTGACCCTCTGTCATTGTTCCTACGCACACAACCACGTCGTACGATGCATTGGCTCGCACTAGAGGCTGTGACAGGTCAACTGCCTCCAGTGCACGATATACTCTGAGCTTCTGAGCTACCTTGAGCATACCGGGGCTCAGGTCGACACCATCGATGTGCTTGGCGCCCACCTTGGCAAGCTCCACGCCAACAAGACCTGTGCCGCAGCCAGCGTCAAGAATCTCAATGTGATCACCCAGTCGCTTAACATTCAAGCTCTTCAACACATGTGAGGTCGCAACGGCGGGTGCCACGTAATCCTGCTCGGCCTCGGCAAGCTCCTTATCGTATGATGTGGCCCAGTCGTCGTAGATGGCCTTCATCTCATCAACACTCGAGGCACCATAGCTGCGACCAATCTGCGACATGGCGGGAGAATGACTCAAATGATTTTTGACGATAGGAAATCTTCAGACGTCAGTAAAGTAGGTCCAAGATCAATCGCACATATCGCGTTTTTGGAGTAGGCTAACAAATTGAGACTCCTTCACAATCAAACGAGTTGAGCTCCTGTGTGTTGATGAAGGAAGCTAGACACAAACGTTTCCTAATGGTGTTGTTTGTATGAAAGGTGCTCTCGAAGCTGGTAGGAAGATCATCGGGCAGATGGGGATGCCTATTTGTACAAATTTGAGCGGACTCTTGAGCTTCAGCCTAGGTCAGGACATCACACCCTCTGTAGTGTTTCTAGGCGGATCTGAGTACGTCGGTGCCCTCTTTGATGTCACATCACACGTCATGGCGGCGCGTAGTGCAACGGTGCCAATCCTCTCATGTCGCTTTGGGAGGAAAACATCCTGCTATCCGCCTCAGTCGTGCCGCTCCTATGGCCACCCTCCGTGATGGTCGCTGAAAGCTCACGTCACTTTCTCGCTGGAGTTGAGCCCGTTGCGCGATATACCTACATCGTTGCATGAGCTACTGGCCAACTACATACGAAGTGCCTCGCCCCTCAGCAGCTGCATACGCTATGCAAAGCTAACGAGTACGATGCGGCTCAGAAGGGGGGTTGATTGGCATACGAACTGGTCGAGGGTGCGGAGGTCGCTGCCTTGGGCACTCCGCGAATCTATTGCATCTTGTGGGCCCAATCATCACCGACCGGACGCCCGCCCGCTTACCGGCCCATGGCTTGGGTGCTCCACAAAGCCGAGGCGCCGCGAGCCCAAGTTGACTGTGCATTTAAGGTATGCCGAGAACTTCATTGGTTAGAATCGTTTTTGCAACAGGGACCTGTACTTGTTTCCCTGCCACAGAATCCGGACGCGCAGGGGACCTCGCCTCCTGCTCAGCGCATCATATACGTAGTCGTCACATCTTTAGCGGGGTATGCGGCCTGACCTTGTTCATGAGAGCGACATCCGACTAAAGTGGTTTCAGGTAACTGCGGTCCATGAGCATAAGGTGTGACGCCTTTGCTACAAGGAGCAGCTTTCCCTTCCTACGGTCTTATGATAGTCTCATCGTTTCTTGAGGCCCCAACCCCGCCAAAGGCCAAGCCATGAGCCCCGCCCCCGCCTCTGCCTAGGCAAGAAATATCCAGGGACGAAAGAGTGTGGAGGGGTAAGGCCGAAGAACTGAGGGGTTTGATTCTGTCGATCTTATCTAGTTCTAAGAGGTGCCTGCGGAAACCAAAGGCACCAACAAACCCTGCACGTCGAGGATACACCCAGTCAGCCTAACCAATGGCAATGAAAGATGGCGCAAGAAGTCGAAAGCCTGTGAAAACCCGTGCCTCGCTCTAAATCGATCACTAGTTGAAATGTATAATATCTACCAGATGGGCGTGGGAGGCCAATCATCGACGTTGAAGCTCAACAGTGATGCTATCGAGGCCACATGCCATCTGATGACCGACCGATGGGTATTTGCCACTTTCGCTGTTCTTTAGCAAGCTCGAGATCCTCTACGCGCAACAACTTATAAGGCATAAGATGTACAAACATGGTGGATTGCATTAACGCCTGACCTAAGATAGCTTGATGTAGAGAGTGGAAAGAAAATTCATCATTGGTTGCTCTAGCTTTGCTGAATGTCACAAAATTCATTGAAGACGATATGGTACTCAGTCTGCACTATCTAGGTACCGCATGCCGCTGGGGACTATAATGATGCTGAATACAAAATTCATGACGGATGAGTGTCGAAACCGAAGGGTCTTGGTTTGATTCTGTTCTGTTGCTCAAGGCTTACATGTGTACATTAGGATAACGAGTGGTTGAAAATCACGAGAAAACAGACAAGCGTACAATTGATTTGAATCTTAATTCTTGGAATAGCCAGGTTCCACTCAGAGACATTGAGCATACCACGGGTTAATTGTTGAGCATGTATAAGGGACAACACAAGCTGTCGGGCCGGTGTGGCCGTTTCCACCGCATTGTTGCCACTGACCTGCCCCAGCTACTGGCGGCGGAGGCGCAGCTGTCGTGACGGGTGTGGGAGCTGGTCTGGATGTTGTTGACGAAGTTCGGAGAGTAGTCGGAGCAGTTACAGGCGCTGTCGACCTTGTCGATGCAACCGAAGAGGTTGACGATCGTACCGAGCTAACAGGGCTGACGGGGGGCTCAGGGCCTTAACACCGTGTTAGGGAAGCTCGCAGAAAACATCCACCCTGACTACTCACTAGAGGATCCGGGGCCAGCGACAGATGTCGTGATTGTTCCGTCTTCGATGTAGACACCTGAAAAGTAAATATCTTCAGGCGCGTCCGGATAACCACTGCGCGGAAGCTCAAGAACACCGAGATGCCAATCGGCACCGTTGCTCGATGTTGAAGCCGCAATGGGCGCATTGACTCTGGTTAAAGGGCTGGCGCCAGTTGAGTGCCAGAAGCCGACAGTCCCAGCACTGAAATCAATTTCATAGGCGACGTTGTGCCAAACATCGGCATCCCAGTTGACGCTCCAGTGTGTCTGTCCACCAACGCACCATCTCAAAAGCGGGTCGGATGTTCCAGCGGCGCCGCTGAGCCAGCCTGCTTTGAGTTCGGTGAAGTGGCTTTCAAAGAAGGCTATTTGATGTTCCCGAGTCGTCGCTGGCGGATTGACGTCACTGCGTTTAATGCTGAAGTGGTAAAACACTTTTCCTTTGTTGATGGCTGCGCTCGTTTGCGGGATCAATTCGGTGCGCCGCATATTCTGGCCATTCCAGTACGCCGTGTCGGTGAGCGAGATCTTGACACCCTGTTTGGACCCAGAGTCGGCTGGGTTCTTGTAACTTGGCGACAAGTTTACATACTCAGTCACAGGCCCGCTCCCGTGAATGTAGTACTGGTAAGGGCCGACCTGCGTCGCCCAGCTCCATTTATTGAGATCGGTGGATGACGTCAGGTCATTGAAACGGCCGTCCCAAAGAATTGCAGAATAGCACTGCGAGACCAGCGAGAAAGCGGCGCTTGCGGTGGCGAGAAACTTCATTATGGAGGTAGAAGTCGTCGTGCTCATGGAAGTCATGTAATACTGGCTGTCATTGCTGCCTTTAAGAACCCGAACGCTACGGTTGATGAAACGGGCCAAGGAGCCGAAGCCTCCGTTTGCAATGTGCCCGGCAATCCGGCAATGCCGTCGATAGGGCCGGGCCGCAGCACATTCAGCCGGCAAATTGTAGGATGGCAAAGGTGCGACACTGGTGACGAGTCAGCCATCATTATTTCACAAGCATGCCATTCTACCAGATTGCGGATCACACTATGTGGCGGGGCAACGTCGCGTATTGATTGATTAACTGCACGAGCAGACATTGTCTTACCATTTGATACCTATCAAGTGCTGTCTTAATCCGTACACGGAGAAAATACAAGCTCTGCCTCCGTAAAGTATTCATAAGACGACCGCTTCCGTTTACTGTCCTTGGCCCGATTGTAGGGTGATCTACAATCGTACTGATCGTCCAATAATTACACACAATGAAGACTCACTTAGTCGGCGTTTGTAAGAGATGTACAACTGCATCATTTATCATATCTTCGTTCCGCATCAAGTCATCTCCCACTGCTTCGTAGGTCATCTGGATTCAAGGTTCCAAATTATGTCCACATCGACTTACCCGCCAGCAACATTGGCCTATGAAAGAAGCCTGATTCCTTTTGAGTTAGCTTAGACGTGGACACTCGGTCAGGACCAGAAGTAGATCTCCAAAACGCCTGGGCCTAACTGGACTTCACCGATGTTGTACTAGGCAATGATGCCAGGAAAGCTCTCCCTTTCTCAAGTGCATACTTGTAGGGTGATCCTGAATGCCCTCACTGAGGAGGAAGGGAGTTGGGTTGTATATGTAGATTATGAATGGTCCTGGGTATATGGTCAGCAGGGCGGCTACATAAAACTCTAGTAAAGGCATCCTGACAACATTCAAATACAGACCTGCGCAGTTATGGGGCACACCCTCCAGCGCTCTTTATGCCAGCACCCCCACCTGGATGACAACTTCCATGCCTAGAATTCAAGTTATGTTACCATCTAAGCAAAGGCGGTCAGGTAGAAAACTGGAGAGTATCAGATCGCTGTTATTGTGTAGTACCTGCCGCCTAAGGAACTGTCCGATAAGAGCAGTATTCTTGATACAGGAGTACATCACGGCAATAGTGACACCATCAAGATCAGTTGGACCAAGGAGATGATATCCATCCTCAGTATCAGGCCGGACGCCAAAGGTGAAGTTGCCGAAATCAATATCATTTCCATTTTTGGCTAACATTGAGCCTGGCGAACAACTCCCCTGCCGTTTTTCGAGGAGCCTCACCCACATTGCCACCTGAGAAGTAGTCCCCAGCCCGGATGCTACCATCATTCGTCTGACGCATGTGGAGCTTGTCGCCATTGCAGAGAGTTTGCAGCAACTTTCGGGTCATGGGACGAGTGTTGATAAGTAAACCCGCTCGACCACTGAGAGGAAGCTTGCTGTTCTCTGCGGCGAGGAAGGGTACACTACCGGACCAGCGGCGAGTAACACGTGCTCGGCACGAATCTTTCCTCCAACCAATGACCGAAACCCAGTAACGCGACCACTCTGTTTGACGAAACCCAAGACCGTGGTCTCGAACACTTTTGCCCTCAAGGCCTTGGCCTGATCGATCAGCCGGGCGGCGGCTGCGTCAGCCTCGACTGCGCCTTCTTCCCTCGTGAGGAGACCCCATGCTGGTACAGTAGCATCCTCGAGATTTGGTTCTATCTTGTTTATGCCACTGTAATTGACTCGGGAAATGCCATAACCCTACGCAGGCATCGCGCAAGGTCTTCGGGGCGTATATGTCATTGGAGGGACCCGCGCCATGAGAGAGGCAGATCAGGCAGGTCTTTGCGAATCTCCTTCCATCGCTTGATAGAGCGACAGCATATATCATAGCGTATATCCTAACAGAATTTCGGATTCTCGAATGCAGCATTAATCCACGAAGAATGAATTGGGCGTTGCAACCCCCCCCCCCCCCCCCCCCTTTTTGCTCTCGGCTATGATGTGATATTGGTTCTTGGATAAGATGCCACCACCTACCACGACATCGTTGGAGCTGGAACTGTCGCCTATGGTAAAGTATAGGCGTAAACGTGTTACGAAGCTTTTGCTGTAAGCTTTGAAAGCCAGTGAAATGAGCTGCCGCAGGTTCACTGCCTCATTAAGGTTTTTAAGGATGGCCCTTCAAAACCAGGCAAATTTGTTGGGGCTGCGAAGTAAATCTTCGCCATTGAGACATGGATAATCGTGTGGATTGCGTGATGGAGGTTTCCTCACTTCTGTGAGTGAGTTAGGTAGTTCGTGATCATGGTTCCCCGTCATCGTTGATTGATCTCATTCAAACCTCGAGCGCTGTGCAGGGTCACTGCTGGGCGTTCCCCACAATAATCATTGTTGGGGGCGAGGAATTTTGCGGTGCTGAATGGCCTACAGGATTGGAAATGTGAGGCCGGCCGGTTCAAACTGCTACTTTGCAGACTGGAGTCACCAGTTGAAGTACGGGGAATTCCCCCTTGCTCCAGCACGGGCGCTGACCCCGCGTTGTTCGAGGATCTTCAATCTCCCAACCCGCGTCGTGGCGCCGACTCACCCAAGCATCTGGCAGGGGCATGTCAAGCTGCATCCCACCCCCTGATGATCAAAGCCAGCCGGCTCGACCACATGCAAATCCTTCACCAGGCAGCATGCTCCCGATAACGCCTGTATAGACCTGGCGATATTACTTCACCCAGAGCTAGCTCTTTCTTCAGGAGCCGAGACCAATCTGAGCCTGCGTCGACGCCAAGGATTACGTTCCTTCTAAGACGCCTCGACTCCCCCCCCCCGACCGCCATGCTTCAAGAACCGGCCACAGATGCCCATTTAGGACGCTGTTGTTGACCACAACCAATCTGCCGTGAAAGATTGGAGAACATTTCGTCCGAAATACTGCCCAGCCCCTCATCAAGCACCGCAGCGGGCCATGCATCGTGAGAGCTGTGTGGAAGCAAAATTACTACATAAGATGGCGACTCGGTTCTGGTGAGGCACCAGATAATGCGCACTTCTTGTTGTGAGGTAGACATACAACCATGGCTCACGCTAGTTTCTCCCCAAGCCTTTGGCAGCCGGCTTTGCACAGGATCGTATTGCTCCTGGTCTTGTATCTCGCCCTTGTCCATCCATCGAACTGTTCTGTTATCCAGAGACGTGCTGCACCTCCACAAAAGCTGCCGAAAAGGGCCACAGAAAACGACCTACGTTACCAGCCGGCCTTAGGTAAGTACAGTTGAGATCGCTAGTTTCACAATTCTCTGACCTACTTAGATTTTGATACCGATTCCTGCTACAACGTACCCGCCATTGGCTGTGATGGAAAGATTGCAGAGGGACTTGAACCCGATGGTACTACGAAAGACTACCGTGACCTCGCCGACCTTGACAACACCAATGTCTAGTAAGCCACTCAAAGCCATGGTCATGTGCAACCACTCTAACGATTCGCTTAGTTCTCGTCAGCGATGCAACAGCGGCTGGTGTGCCTACATGTACGATTACTACTTCGAAAAGGACCACGCTGATATTGGTGCACACAAACACGACTGGGAGCACATCATCGTATGGGTAACTGATGACCGAACGAAAAATAAAAAGTACGCGTGTGTGTCTCAGCATGGTGAATGGCTATGTCACCCAGAGGATAAGGTGCTCTGGAAAGACGAACACCCCAAGGTACCAATTATGGCCTGACAACCTAACGTATACGTTGCTTACCATCCTTGACCTAGATTGTTTACCACAAGGATTGGTTTCAAACTCGTGCCTTTCGCTTTGCTAATGCGGAAGATGATAAATACCAGGAAAATGAGCGCCATGACTGGCAACTTGGCGATCTGGTTGGTTGGTTTGGATTTCCGACAACAGAGCTTCGGTCGGCCCTGGAAACCCATCATTTCGGCAGTGCGAGCTTTGCTCTTGGTGGCAGTTTCACGAACAATCTGAAGAACTCCCTGACTGCTTGGTGTGACGACAAATTCCCTCCTGACGGTGGAGACCTCGCAGTCTGTAAAATGCAGCATTTCCCTCATCCTTTCGATCCTGCGAGAGACGACAACGGCTCCCCGGGTCAGCCGCCAGAAGGTAACGGGTGCAACCCAACTAATCCTGGCACGCCTGGGCCTGCATTTGGCGTCATCAATGCCATGATTGTAGGAGACTCGATTACGCAAGGGTTTGAGGGCGACTATACCTGGAGGTTCCGCCTCGCGGAGTGGTTCACGTCGGAGAGTATTACTCCGAACTTTGTTGGTCCTTGGACCGGAACACATACCAATGCCGAGCCGAGCGACCCGAAACCTCCTCGTCTGATCGGGACTGGGGTATGTTCATCACCTTGGTATCTTGGTGGCAGTTCGCTAACGAAAGTCGCAGCCAGTACCGCCAGACGAGCGCCGAACAGGTGGAGCATACGCCAACGGTGTCTCCTTTAAAAGCAATCATTGGGCTTTGTGGGGCCGCCAAGCTGCTCAGGTTAAGAACGAGATTCGCAGTCAGGTCTCAACCCATTCGCCAGATTGGTTGCTTGTCATGCTTGGATTCAACGATCTTGGCTGGTGGGTGGGTGGGCCTGATGACACCTTGGCCAGTGTGAAGGCCATCGTTGATGAAGCGCGTGCCGCAAAGTCTAACGTCCGCATCTTGATTGCTAACGTCATCCATCGAACGTTCATCGAAGGCCGTAACGATCTTGTAACCAACACGAATATCTACAACGATAGGCAGCTGAGCAGTCGCCACGTGGGGAACAGCTATAGACAGAGTTGACGTCAACGAGCTTGATAGGAGAGGATGATGTGCTCCAGCCCGGGATCGCATTCTTCAGCATGTGATGGACTGCATCCGGGGCCAAAGGGAGAATACCAGATCGCTCACGCCTCCAGCAAGACTCTCGTTGAGATGGGTGCGGGTAAATCAGCACTATCCGTTCCAGGCAGCTTCCCGGCATCCAAGGTCCCCACGGTTCCTAACAATGTTCGAGTATCACAGGCTCCTTGGGGTCTAAAAATCACCTGGGACAAAGTGTGGGGTGCAAATGCATATGAGGTCCGCTCGCGTCAGAAGGGCATTAGCCAGTGGTCATACTGGCCATCCGGCATCGCCTGGCCCGTGAACCGCTGGGACAACAGCTGGGTCCTTGAAGGGCAAGAATGGGAATACTCGGTACGGACGAATATGGGAACTGGCCGGACGTCTGAATGGTCAGGCACTGCTACTGCTGTTGCAAGGCCAACGAATCCCAAGGGACCCAACAATGTCTGGGTTGAACCTCGAGGAAACTCTATTTCTTTGCGATGGGGCGCTGTGCCTGGAGCTATCTCCTACGAGGTTATCACCTTTGATAACGATGCGACAGGGACGACATTCCCCAACGGCCGCGGTGTCCAAGGAACCAGCGTAACCGTCAGCGATGGCTTAATAGTCGGTCACAGAAATGCCATTGCCATTGTCACATGGGCATCCTCCGGCCCCGGATGGCCCACTATTGGCATGTCGGTGCGCGTCGGCGCAGGCCAGCCCGCGACGATTCAAGGCCTTCGCGTCAGCAACACTGACCCAACTACGGTTCTCCTCAGCTGGCCTTACACTACAAACTTTGCCAGCTATCGTGTGTGGTTCCGTAATCACAAGACGAACGAGGCCTTCCGGACAGATGGGTACTCCACTGCCACGGATAACTCGCATACCGTTGCCTTTTTGTTCCCTGGCACGTGGAATTATGAGTTCTATGTCGTGGCCATGAATGGAAATATTGAGGGCGGTCGTTCAAATACCGTTATACCGCCGGTATATCCGGGTTTCCAGGGGTCGGGCGGGTAAGTGATGGTGACTCTATCGCTCACGATGCGCTGGACTCGGGTCACGCGAGAGCTCAACTATTACGTTGATTGGACGGATTGTCAACCTTTCACTCGCCCCTCTTCCAAGATCAACAGCAGTCAAAGTCTTCGTTAGTCACATAGCTGTCGTTCCGGAAACGAACATGAAGAGTGATTTATGTTCGTTGAAAATAACCTATGGCTTGTTTCCGTGAACTCGAACCACTGTCGTTCTAGATCGATCCTTTGGTTTCTGCCAGGTCATCTTCGATGCTTGTACATGACTGTGACTTTAGCCACGTGGGTTCGTGTACCGATGCCTATAGCTCTGCTGATGAAAGCCGAAACCAAGGACTCCATGATTGCTATCAGTCGGCACTAGAAGTACCGGACGATGAAGGCCTTGAGACACAGTCGGCATGTGCGTATGATGCTATCCGTGCTCAGACGACGACGCTTTTTATGCTCGGCGCTACAACTGGCTAACTGCCTAGGTGGCATCTTCTTGGGCCCTACTTTAAAGCCTCGGAACCAGTCAAGCTCTACTGGTTACGCCAACGACAGTATTGAATTCAACGATCGGATAATATTGCTTAAAGAAGACGAGAGCCTCCGCCAGCACGTCAACTGTACCACATCATGGAAGGGCTTTTGAGGAGCACCCAATGGCTTGTTGAAGTATTCAAACACGCGGGACCATCATGGATTTGAATACCCCCAGGGTCCCCAAAGTGTTACGGTCGGCCCCAAAGGGGCTTCTCGACAAGCTTCAAACAAACGTAAGTGCGTTACGGCACCTTTTCTTTGAGGTAAAAGTATAGCCGTTGAATCAGCTTCATTCATTCAACCTCGCTGTATTCAATGAGGTATGGGCCCCAGGCCTATACAAAGTTAGCGGGTCTAAAACATGACACAAAGTGACTCTGTAGTGCGTCAGTCAGACATTTGGCGTTCATTTCTACGACGAGACCACTGAAATTCGCAATAATTCCGGAATGGGAAGATGCATGAAGAAGCTTAACGGCTTCTGACAAGTGCCGCCGACATGTTTGCGCCAACGATCAGACGGCGGAACATGGATATCATAGATTAGAGATCTAACTTGAAGCAATTGCTCGGTTAGGCTTCAAAGCCGTAAATGACGGGTGGTGGTCACGTCAGTCGGATGCCATGGAGCAGAGCATTGAGGCACATGAGCTGATCTCTCTTGGCTTCGCCGGTTGAATGGCTGTGAAGGACCACGATGATTTTAGCTGAACTTGCCTGCTGAGGAACGAAGATCCAGGATGAGTGAGGAGAATACTGTGCAGGCACGGGGATGAGCGTTGGCCCCAAATCACCTACGGATACCAATTTTTGGTCACATGTGGCTTGTGACCCGGTCGATTCGGTTGCCTTGAACTCTTGAGCAAATTGCCTGTCTCCGCTATCGGCCTTGCAGAGTCATGCAGCCAAGTTGTCTTTCTTAAAGGTGAGGGCTTGCGGAGAAATATCCGTGAAAAATCATGTAATCCGTCTAAGATCTGCAACTTATGGGGTCGAGATACACGTCAGTGGTGGGGTTAGTCGGCACTTGAGATCGCGGGGTTGATGAGTATGCCGAGTTTTCATTGGCTAATTGAAACCTAATCAAAGTGACGTGACCATGTATCGGACCAGAAAAAGTGAGGATATCTACATGTATAAAGCATACCCCGGAATAATCTCCTATGTCCCCTTAGCAGCGTTTCTGCATCCAACACCGCTCAACCTAGATGCAACTATGAGGATTCGGTTCGCCATCTCTGTCAGCTTGGCTGGAGCCATATCACCGTGTGAAGCTGCACGGGAAAGGGATTATACTTCACACGTCAATCCTTTCCTCGGCACTGAAGGCCCAATACCTGGCTCCGCGTATCAAGGCGGCAATGTCTTTCCCGGAGCGACTCTGCCGTTCGGCGCCGTCAAGGTCGGAATCGACACAACTCGATGGGATACAAATTACCAAGCCAACGCTGGCTACACCCCTGAGGGCAACGTTACGGGCATTTCCATGCTGCATGTTAGTGGCACAGGTGGTGCGCCAACGTACGGCTTGATACCACAGATGCCGCTCACCAGTCTTGAGGGGGTGAATTTGCTGGACAACTTAACATACATGCAGCCAAGGACGGAGCACGATACAGCGACAGTGGGGTATTACAAGACCAGTCTTCAAAACGGTGTTGTGGCAGAGATGAGTGCCAGCATGCACAGCGGCATCATGAAATACTCGTTCCCAAGCAGTGGTAACCAGCACATTATCGTCGATCTCAGCCACTACCTACCAACTCGTGGCAAAGAATCCCAATGGTACAGCAACGGAAGAATTGAACTTAGTGACGACGGAAGCTGGTACACCGGTTACGGTGTGTACAGAGAAGGTTGGGCCCTCGGTGGAGACTTCAAAGTGTACTTCTGCGGACATTTTGATACAGCCCCAACCAATGTTGAGCTCTTCTCTGGGATGTACACCGACCCGTACTGGCCCAATGCGACTGACGTCCAACCTTCATTTGCCAACAATGGCAACGCCATCTGGGGCGGAACCGATGGCTACCAGTATGCGGACCGGGTCGGTGCTCTCTTCACCTTTTCAACGAACAGTTCCACAGTCACATCCAAAGTGGGCATCTCCTGGATCTCATCAGACAAGGCCTGCCAGTTTCTGAATGACGAGATTCCTCATTGGGACCTTCATGTCACGGTCGCTGAGGCCAGAGATCATTGGAACAACGAAGTGCTGTCCAAGATTGACGCAAACACTCAAAACCAGACGCTATTGGAAATGTTTTACACTGGGCTTTATCATGCACATCTCATGCCGTCAGATCGCACAGGGGAGAATCCCAACTGGGTTTCGGACGAGCCATACTATGATGACTATTACACTCTATGGGATACCTTCCGATGTACCCATGCCTTGATCTCTCTAATCCTTCCGAGACGGCAAATCGACATGAGTAAGTGCCCCCCGTCGCCGAAACCAATCATTATGCTCACGCAACTCAGTCAGGTCCATGATCGACATCTGGCGTCACGAAAGATTCATGCCCGAGGGTCGCAGCCACAATCACAATGGCCGCGTTCAGGGCGGCTCCAACTCAGACAACATTCTCGCCGATGCGTACGTCAAAAACCTGGACGCCCACCAGCTTATCAACTGGACGGATGGATACGCTGCCATGCGCACCAACGCCGAATTACAGCCTTACAACAACTTTGACTTCAACGATCCCACGGGGAGCACAAAAGAAGGACGAGGCGCTCTGGATGACTGGAAAAAATATGGATACGTATCAGTCAACTACGGGAGAAGCGTGAGTAAGACAGTCGAGTATTCGCTCAATGACTTCGCGGTCTCGCAAGTGGCGCTAGGCGAGGCCCCGGAGGAGGCCAAAACATACTTGAAACGTTCCGCGTGAGTAGGATATTCAGAAACTTGCGGGCAGAAAAAGTGAGCTAATAGTTCTAGTGGCTGGCAAAGGATTTGGAACTCGGAGGCAGAAGCGCATAATCACACTGGCTTTCTCGCACCGCTGCAGCCTAACGGTACAGTCCTCGAACCGTATGATCCACTAGCATGCGGCGAATGTAATTGGCAAGCCATTTCTTATGAAGGTACTCCGTGGGAGTATAGCTTTGGCGCACCTCACGACATGAGCACACTCATCTCCCTCATGGGTGGCCCCGAAGTATTCGAAGACCGGCTGGATACAAGTTTCGTTCCTGACCTCGGAGCACAAGATCAAGGCAATAACGGAATTGGGTCCATGATATACAACCCAGGCAATGAACCTAGCTTCATGACACCGTTTCTATACAACTACATCCAAAGGAAACAGTGGAAGAGCGTCATGAGAAGTCGGGCCATCGTTGATGAATTTTACCATGCTGGATCGAGCGGGATTCCTGGCAACGATGACGCTGGGAGCATGAGTAGCTGGCTCGTCTGGAACATGCTCGGGCTTTACCCTGTCGTAACACAACCTGTGTATTTGATTCTTGCACCACGATTTACATCTTACAGCATGAAGGTTGGGGTAAATGGGACACTACGGGTCACGGCCAAGGGTATCGACGATGGTCCCTATATACAAAGCCTCAAGGTGAATGGAAAAGAATGGGATAAGAGTTGGGTAAGCCATGAGGATCTCCTTGGCGGAGATCAGAGGGGAGGCTTACTGGAGTTTGTTCTGGGCAAGAGGCCGGTCTCGTGGGACTCTGGAACGGTGCCCCCAAGTCCAGGCGCTCTGAGCACATAGCTAGATTTGTAAACATAATATGATCAAATTTGATTCCAGTTCTTGATATGCCAATATCTCAATGTCGGCCCATCAGGCCGGCCTCTATAGTCGGGAGATCCTCTGCTGTATTTGTAGGCTATGGACTTGATATGTCGCCTACTAGATGAATTGGCCAGTGAGTCAATGCAAGTAAAAGTATGAAGCCCCTAAACGAAATCGTTGTTGATTTCCTTATATTAGTGAATCCTTCGCCATAATCATCAGTCACCATGGGCCTGGCTTTAGTCAAATCCATAGTCAAGGAACTGACTCTTTCGTCCCGTTGACCCAACCATGGATGCAACGGCTCTTGAGACGAACTTAGATCACGCTGCCGCGTTCTCAATGTCGGCTCGTCATTAGAATGATAGGTTCCCTGTCTGATCAGAAGCCTTGGTCCCACCAAATATTCAGCCACGCCGCTTAGCCAGTTGACCAACGCCTCTAATCACTTTGACTCTCGCCATAACTTGCAGTCAATCATGAGCACACTTAAGAGTTGCGCCCGACAGCAGACACGAAAGCCAGTAATCGATGATTACACGCTCTCAAACCGTCTCTCACCGTTGAATGATGTGTGCCGCGAGACAACGAGCAAGATCACGAAAGAGCTACGCCCGCGATCACACTAATACCCCACGCGCCTAGGATGGTGCCGATGGCGGCCCATCGGTTGGGCATCAGCGGACGAGCAGCACTCTCTTCGCCGCCAACAGTACTACCTGGATTGTTTGTAGTCGCTTCCTCGTTGTTGTTGCCATTGCCGTTCCCTTGATCGGATCCATCGCCACTGTTAACAAGATAGATAGCCTGTACAACGGCAACGCCTGACTCCCACAAGGCTCCTTGCCAAAGGCAGCCAATCCGCTGGCAGTTTCCTCGGGGAGACCGGACGAGTCAAATGGGATGACATAGGTCACGGCGTCGGAGGTGTCGCGCCACCCCGTTGTGAAGGGAAATTTCCCCAGTGTTGCGGTTGTGGTCACACCCGCGAAGTCAAACGTCTCGGTCCTTAGTTCGTTGCCATCTCCCAGGCCAGTGCCATTATATCTATACTGGCAAGCTGTTCTACCAGCCAGCTCAGAAAGGGGGAAGTTAGACCAGCAGCCTTGGTACGGGTTGACTGAGTAGCCGCTGTGGATGCGGTCCCAATTAGTTTGGAAAGGAGATAATATGCTTTTGGAGATAGAAAATGGCTCACCTTGGGCAGCAGGCCACGGCTGTCTGAGTGGGTTCCAGAATCGAAGTCAGCATGTTGGCTTGGAAGTTGGCGGCTGGGAAGTTCGTCGTTTCCCCAGGCGCTCCCTCGGTGAAGGCAGTCGGCTGGAAAATATCAGACACACTGGGGGGGCCATTGTTCATGGCAGCGATGCCAACGGTAACCCATTTGTCAGGGCACTGGTTGCCGGGAGAGTAGTAGTGGGCGGTGGTCACTTCCACGGCGAGATCGACGTTCTCATATATTTCATTGACCTTGCCGCCGTTGGGACGACACTCGTCTGAAATGTTCCAGCCGTCGTACCCATCAACAATCAAGCGCGGAAACCAAGGTACTTGAGGAACTCCGAGGCCGCTGCGGGTGACTGGCTCGGTCGCACAAGATTGGGGAGAAGTCCATGTTGTGGTTAGGGGCCCAGCATTGTGCCACTCGAGATTTCCTCCGGTCTGGATGGAGGACATCTCGAGATTTAGGTTGGCGAGTGAATATTTGGCTGCAGGCTTTTGTGCTTGAAATCGGTATTCGTTGCTCCAAGCTAACAGTCACAAGGGAGGCCAGTGCATATTGTCATAGCTTTAATAGAAGCGCGTTTTGGGAGGCCTCATTATTAACTACTAGTGGCCTGGACCCTGTTCCAGGGCGCATCTATTGCGGCACAGATATTTCGCCCACAAATGACGTGTTCACGTGCCTTGCCATCACCCATTTCGGTAAGAGGTGGAACCAGGATGTTAAGCCACGGGAAGGGGTCATACTGACAGCGGTACAGACAAATCAATCACCCACATTCCCGCCAGAATTTACAACTTTGATCACGGTAATAAGATGCCACCCTTTGAATAAATTGGTCAAGTTAAGCTAGCTCAATTGAAAAGCTTGTTTAAGATAAAGACTGGAGGAAGCTAGCGTGCAAGACTTGACGGCTGGAAGGGCCAACAGTCTTGGAACTACCTATAACAGGCCGAGCAAAACCTACTGACGGAAAACACTCCAATGAACCTTGGCAAGCTCAATCCAGTTCCGGCGACCCATATCACCGCCTGCACCAATCCTTCCGTTCCTGTTGTATCTATTCATTGAATCTGTAGTGAGATCCCTGACATCCGTATCGCCCACGATTGCCCCAAAGAAGTTGTCCGTATAGACCCTAAAGCCACATTCTCCGCAGCCAACCAAATTGAACCAGCTGTAGAGAGGGCTTCACTGCTTATGTGAACCCCAATCCAGTGCTTTTGCTGTGCTTGCGAGCTCTGAATAGGTAGGGTATCTGATATAAGGCTTGTGATGGTTGATTCTTGATTGTCTCTATCTCTGAGTTACCGCTACTTACGTGAGTTAGATATACCCGTCTACTTCACCGATCACGTAAGCCGTAGCTCACGTGCTCCTGAGAGCCGTGGATCCCAGATATCCCAGATATCACCATCCTAACCACAGGATTCCCTAATATTGGTTCAACACCAGCCATTATTCTGCTTATCATCATTAGAGAAGAAACACCTTCCCCTAATATGATCCCTTGCGTAATCTCTTATGCAGATACAGTGGGCCGTGAGTGGCGAGCCACCTGAGGTCTCGTCTCGGAAGTTCGCCGCGCCGCAAGCGTCATAGCCATTGGGCAAATATTACCATGACCATCGACGGACAAGGCTGCCTGTATTGCCTGGTTCGTCGTCGGCGTCTTCTAGGTTTGCCCCTTTGGCAACCCAGACCGTATATGTCTTTCCGTCGGAGGCCGTAAAGTTGTGGGTATTGACAGTATCCAGATCTACTGATGCTGGAAGGCCAACTATGTCTGCATCTGACGCGTGAGGCAGTACAGCCAAGGCTGCGGCCAGAGACGCCATTCTGAGAGAAAGGAGGAAAGTGGCGTCCGCAATCATTGCTGTGAAGGATGAAGTATTAGGATAATGAAAATGATGTTGCTGTGCGGGTGAATATCGGACGTGACCTTCAGAAATGGCAGAGGGTGAGGTACGATATATGAGGATGAATGTTGTCCATGTGGTTGATCATATCGCGATCTATGTAGCAGGAGCGGGCATTCTTATATTTCCATGAGCGGCCGGTTGTTGCTTACTTCGTTTGCTAAACCTGACGGATGGCAAGAGCCTTTGCGTTCCTGACTGTCCGTTAATTTTCCCTTCACCAACAAGTTAACAACCTGCAATCTCTGACCTAGTTTGGTCCAATATCAAAAACCTTGCCGCACTCTAATTACCCTGCAATTAAACCTGCATTTACCCAGACTCCATAAGTGGAAGGTCTACTTGGAAAACATCTCTCAAAAATTAACCATCTATTATCAGGTGAATTAACAGTCAAAAGTCCGATTCGCGCCCTTGATTTGAGGAAAAGGATTGATCCCCGTCTATGCGCAGAACCCTGATGCTTCTTACTCTTAGAGGAGGGTGGGGACTAGCTAAAATCAATTGTCATGCCACCGAAACGCACGAACACTATAAGAAGCACTCCTTCATGAGTAGGTGCTTTTGTAGCTGCGCCCGGATAACCCACAATCGAAATAAAGCCACCAATGTCTACGATTGAAAACGTTTGCATCACAGGTACTTTTGTAGCTGCGCAGGCTGTGCCACGATCGCGTCACCGCCATTGATGTCCGCAATAGAAGACCCTGGGGCCCAGCCATCGACAAGCAAAACAAAACATACAACACCAGGGATTCGCCGGTGGTCACCCACCCGACTACTGGGCTGGCCCTCACTGGTTTATCGATGGGAGAGCGGACGGGATCCCGAGCTTTCCAATAGGTATGGTCGTATGTGCTGAGCGGATCGTTGTCTGGCGTTTATGTAGACTAAGATACTCATGGTGATGTCGGGGTGCAGGTCGAAGGTTGATTTCAATTGTAACGACTTGCGAGCCCAGGTGTCTGGGGTTAGAGGCTGTATTTGATTCAGGGGACGGCTGTCTTCCCTAATGACCCCTAAGCCTTTTGCTGCGTGTGCTCCCTCTTCGATTGGATATGTCGACATTCGACTTTATGGGCTCACTCACTGTAACTGCATAACAAAGCTTAGAAAATGGAATGGCAATTTTCCTTCCTTGCTTTTCATGGTAATGTCTCTCTGTTTCGTACTTGCTGGGTTGGGATGGGTTATTTTATCGGTTCGTTCATCGTCATGTGAATCCTCAATAGCGTGGCAGTTTCCCCGTTACCTCCTATTGGGAGCTTCAACTAAAATGAACTGACTTGCCCATCCAGCGTGAGGGACAAAAGATAGTAACGACCGATATTTGTTCTACGAGGGTTATCATCCGTTTTCGGGTCGACACGAGAATCGGGGCTCAGGGCTGGACGCAGTGACGTATATGATGATGACGGCAGTGCTTTGTTGAAGCGCCAGGCTGTTGGTCATGCCAGACGGAGGCAAGCCCGTCATCACAGCTGCCACGATGAAGAGACTTTCGAGAGGAGGACCACGCTCTTTCCAATCCACGCAATGTGGCGGTGGGCATGCTGCGAGTACAACGCTGTTCATGTTGAATATTCTTAGGAATAGTCGTTTTAGATCCCAGAGCATATGGAGAGAAGAAGGGAAGATTGATTGACTAAATGAGGCCAAAGCAAAAGAACGGGGGGTCAGGAGCCTGTGTAGGTTCATGACCAAGGAAGGTGGTCAGACCGGGACTAGAACAGCTCAATATCAAGATCACTCATCGACTTGAACCCTAATTGGGTCCTTTCCCGTCCAGGCTTCCGTCTCCCTCGCCATGTCCGAGGGCGCCTTCCACCGCACGTTCCTCTCAACTACAGCTCGCCATCTGCGGAACGCCGATCCTTCACCGTCGTCATCGTAAATTGGAAAGCGACTGTTTGGCTCGACGCATTGGAGGCAAATGGCTCGCCAATTACTGGACGAGAAATCCATATGAAGAGTAGCAGATTGCAGATTCGGCATCCGACGCACAGCGGCAGCCATGCTGATTGCCAGTGGGTTCATAGTCTCCGGGTCCGGTTCCATGCGCCACAAGTGCTGTGGCCATAGCCAGGCCGGGTCGTCCTCCGCGTCTGAGTCGTCGCTCTCCAGTCCTGAATTCATGGCTCCAAAGTCTGTATCGAATTCCTCGTCTTCACGCCCTTGCTGCAAAGCTCCTTCCTTCGTTCGGTCCCCGGTATAATACCATTGTCCGCTGGGTAACACGATGCCACAGTCGATCTCGAGGCGCCTGAGAGAGGGCCAGACAGACTTGTCTTCGCCAACGGATGCGCAATGGCGATGATCCCAGAAGAGATCAGATGAGATGCTAGGAATGTCCAGCTTGAGTTCCAGAAATCCAGTCATCTGAGAAAGCACCCGAATGGCCTCGCAAAGCTTATCGACCCCCTGCTTGTCTTGCAAATTCTTACACTGATAGCTGTGATTGTCAGGACTGTCTCCGCCCTCTTGCCGAAGCTTGAATCTTCTCAGCCCATGTAAGGACTTCGAAATCATAGTGATTCCGTCAGCGAGAGCATCGCGATGTTGCGAGCGGACTTGTGGGCGGCCGTGCCCAGGATCGAGGATTTCAAGATCAACCGTTTCAAGGAGCGGCAAGACACATGCCAGCCGACACAAGCTCGTCGGATGCAGGGCTAGACCTGGTGAGCAACCACCGACCTGTAAGTGCTTTATGCGCCGCAGCCTTGGGAGTTCGGCAACGTCCGCATCACTCATCGTGAGGTAGCGACCCTCGGCTGGGGAACTGTGAAGATGGGTCTCTCTATTGGGCCATTCGGATATGAGTATAAGTTCCAATGGCTCAAGAGCCTCGTTCGACATATTCTGCTCCCAGCGATGGATTTCGCGGAGCAGAGTCGAAACAGCCGTAGCCACGGTTTCCTCATTCTGGCAATGCTCCTCGGCGGTGGCGGCATTGGTGGGCATTTTAAACGAGAGTATGACGGTTCGCAGGTACGATCGGCGATATGTTTGTGAGTAGATGCGAGAAAACCGAGCCATGCCGTCAGACGAACTCGGAACATCGATCAATCTCATCGTCTGAGGCTCAACGACAGCCTGCCACGCGCGCGAAATCGCTGCAAAATTTGCATATTTTCTTTGTAGTCTTTCTGCCTGATGAAGCTGCCTGACCTCATCAAAGATCATGGAGATAATGTCGAAACCAAGTTTGTCCATTTTTGCCGATGTGCTGGGCGATTTGCGATACTAGAACCTATAACTAAAGGTCGGTTCTGTGATGGCCTAGACGAAATGGGGGTTTGACCTTGTATAAAACAAACGGAGATGACACTTGATTTCTCTCGAGGCTGCAGGAACAGTGGATTTGTACCATCTCTGCACTTCAGGTCCAGGGGTTTACAGCGGGTATTAAAAGAAGTCCAAGCTGGCCCAACTTCTTGTACGCAGGGTACAGTGTACGCCAAGCTCTTAATTTGCACCTCTTAGGTGACAGGAGTGGGGTTATGGGGTGTCGGCTGCGCCCGCCGCGCCACTGG